TATAATTTAGTTTATAAATAGACTAAAGATTCACAGATCAGCCCATTCCAAATTGATATTTATCCAACTAAATTAGGCAGCTTGACTGGCCTAAATCACCAGTTTTCTATGAGTTTGGCTACTATAGGTACCTCATATAAGTGGAATCACACAATATTTGTCCTTTTGTGACTGTTTTATTTCACTTGGCATAATGCCTTAAAGGTTCATCCATGTTGTAGCATGTGTCAGAATTCCTTCCTTTTTAAGATTGAACAGTATTCCTGAGGAAATAAGGGAGTGTGTGTATGTATAATATTTATCCATCCAGTCACCAATGGCTATTGTCATTAATGCACAGCTTCCCCAGTACCCTTGGGTGGTTTTCAGTGAGTTCTAAAGTATGGCACCTCCCTTGGACAGATTCCCCCAACACCTCAGAAGCCAGATTGCCAGCCCAGTATTTAATGAACATCTTTGAGCCATGCAATGAGCCACAGCCACCTCCAATGAGGTCTGGATCTCATGTGTGAGGTGCTGCTTCTCCGAGGGCACTCTGTCTCAGCCCTGGGCATGGTGGCTGTTCCTTATGCCTGCTGCTCCTAAATTCTTTAGAGTTCTCTTTACTTCCTTACTATTCATTCCCTCATTTCTCTAATCCTGCTATAATCAATAATTTTATATCAACTTATATAAGATTCCTATGACCTAATTGGACCCTGAGTGATACAGTTGGTTATAAAACAACATGCACAATGTTAGTCTAAGTTGGCAGGGAAAATACAACCAACTATACACACAGAGAAGAATCATGCTTGGAAGAAATCCTCGCCAAAGGCAGAATTAAGAGTGTTTTTGTTTTATTTTCTTTGGTTGCTTTTTTATTTCTAGGTTGAGTTATTTTTATAATCAGGAAAAAAATATTTTAGAAGAAAAAAAATACCATATGAGCCTATAAGATCCTTGATACATGCTGACTACTTAACCAAGTAACTTTAATTGGCCTTATGAATCAAGCTTTGCTACTCAAAAGATGGTTCTTGGATCTGCACCATCAGCATCACCTGAAAGCCTGTTACAAAATGTAGTCTCTATGCTCATCCCATACCTGCTGTATTAGAACCTATATTTTAACAAGATCCCCAGGTGTTGCATGTGCAGATTTGAGACAGAGAGTTTGAGAAGTCCTGCTACAATGGACAATTGAACTAGTAGCCTAGAAAAAATAACCCAGCTCTCTCAGGGAAGATAGCAGTTCATTTCTAGGAAATTGTATGTGTAGAAATGGGTCATCCGGGACTTTGCTAAACAGCCGTATTCAAAATTCATGCATTGTTACCATCTGTCTGTCATGCACTGAGATAGTCTTCTGAAGTCTCACGTGATTACACTGATTTGTTATTTACTGGTGAATAATTAGTGTATGTTTTTAACACACTGAGTTCCCTAGACAACAGAACCAGAGGCAATGGCTTTTGCACTATGTTTTATTAGGCAGTACAATTCAAGAAGGATGAGAGAAGGGTACAGAGACCAAAGTGGGGAGAAGGGAGAGCTAATATGCCATACAATATGATGTTGACTGTTGTCAAATGCAACTATTGAAGTAGGAGAACATGCCCCTAAGACACAGTTACCTCTTCTCAGGACCATCCAGGTACTAGTAGGCTCCTGTTGATCTCTGGTCCAATGTTTTGCCCCACCTCTGCGCTTTGTGTTCCACATGCATGGCTGTGGGTATCTAAAGAAGTTCTCAGTCAGGACACATACCCAGGTTTCGGGCTCAATCCCCATGCAGGAGGCAGCCTGCCTATGTTTCTTTCTTGTTAATATTTCTGTCTCTCTCTTCCTCTCTCTCTCAAATAAAGGCATATTTTAAAATTAAAAAAAGTCCCATGATAAAGGCAACAGGGAAGTGCCAGGCAGAAGGTGAGGAGTGGATGGAAAAAGCAGGCATCAGGTGCTGTCAGAGGCACCAGTCTCAAGTTGCTCAGAGCCCATAGAAAGCTGGTCACCATAGCAGCAACTGAAATAATAAGAGAAATAATTGATAGATAAGATTGAGAGGGTCCAAAGGGGTAAAGAAGAGGTGCTGTGATACAGAAACACAATTTAAATAATATTTCAAAGAAAGGCAATTTGTCCATGATTTGAAAAGTTAGTGTCTACAATTGTGCTGTTTCTCAAATAACAGTAAATATTTCCACTTACTTTTAAGAATTTGTCATCGCTGCTCGCGAATTAAACCTTCTTGAGATAAAACAATTACAGATGGAAGTTGCAAGGTTAAATAAGGAAATAGAGTTTCTGAAGAGGAAAATGGTTGATTTGAAAGATACTAATAATGATCTGGGGTAGGTATTTCTCTTCTGTTCAATACCAGAGGGAGTTGAGGTCTGGGGCCGGAGTGAGAAAAATGTCCTAAGGCAGGGATGGGCAACCTTTTAGTGAGCGCGTGCCAAAACCAGCAAAATCTCTGACTCAAAATTCTTCTGCGTGCCAACCCTAATTTTTTGAGAACATGTTACGCCTACTTGATATCTCCTAAGGTATACGTATGTGAAGAACCTTGAAGAAATAATAAAATTCATTCGAGCGACAAAAACACAGTATATGATGATGAAAAGTACATTTATTTTTTAATGTATACATGTACACTGATAGTCCGACAGAAAACTTTATGACTTCGTTTGATATTATCAGTGGGACTTTTGCTGCTGCATCACTGATGATAAAGATTTTACATCAGGTTTATATTTCGTGACCTTCAGAGATATGCACAAGCTACTACTTTCATCCGTCAGGCTACTATTACAAGACTTAACAAAATTCATCACTGAGAACAAAGATTCACAAGCATATGTGG